TAACACTCTGCCAAAAATCTAGCCTGGAAGAGGAATCAATAGGAGAAGAGCAGTATTCAAAAGCTCCTACAGAATTATGGTTTCCACTGGTGAGGAAAGGATGAGAGCAGCTGAAAAAGAAAGTTAAGTATCAAGCTGGTAGAGAACAAACTGAGGTAAAACAAGTCAGTATTTTACTGCTCTCAACTTCTTCATCAGAAAGTTCTGTCCCAGGCGGAGAGATTTAGAAAGGAAGTAAGTTAGAGAGTTGTAGGCTTATTAGATTTGGCCTCTATATTACCATTTTCCTAAAGCAAATATATCTGAACTTAAGATAATACTTATGTATTTTAAAGCTGCAATCAAAATATATATTTACAGCAATACAAAGTTGTAAAATTCTACTTGTACAGGACAGCCTGAAAATGAAACCCAATCTGGTTCTGTTGCTCAAGGTGAAAGTTAAGCATTTCATGTTTTCTCATCAGTTCAACATCGTGAGAAGTGTTTCTATTCTGCACATGACTTCTGAAATAGAATACAATGAAAATTCTAAAAACTGGAGAGATGTGTTTATTTTCAGATATTGCTGTACCTCTGTGTAAATACATCAAAGCTATTTGAACTCTTTGCTACCACATTCTCCTCCAGCCCATGAGAAAACATTCTAAACAACTAAATGAAATCTGAAGTCTGAGTACTTGTACTCTGAGCAGTATAAGGTGCCTGCTGCACCCACCTAATTGATGAAAAAAGGTAACAAAATGACTATATACAGAAACACTAATAATGAGTGTGTGTGTGGCTAATTTCACTGCTACAGGTGAATTCTTGTTTTACTTCACACTTTTCAGGGCCTTTGAAAAATGCAGTATGCATTACAGTGTGCACTGCTGGTCTGCTTCTTCAAGAACTTGAAAGTCCATTTACAACAAGCTTCATTAAGATGTGTGGGATCAGAGCGTTGTTATAACTGGGAAAAGTCTCATTAAAAAAGTCTCTATTAGAGTTAGTTGAAACCCTACGTCAATCATGTAGTACACCAAGTTTCCGGCATGTCAGTTTTGTCACCAACATCTCACTGCTTCAGCATGCAGTTCCCTCAAGTTAAGTTTACTCAGTTCACTAAGAAATGAGATACGGGTTGGTGTAACACGATTCAATGGTTCTCAAAACATGAAGAGGCAAAGAGGCTTCTTTCCCTCAGGTTTTGAAGGGGCTTATTTTGTACAGGAAAAGAAGGCCATCTCTTAACCAGATGTGAGCCCTGGAAAGGGTGCCCCCGAGGGGAGAGTCACCATCTTAGCAATTTATATGATCCGTCATTTGTTTAAAAAGTAACTGCTGGAAGGACAGCTTAAATCAGCCCAGTAACCATGTGAATCCAGGAATCTAAGCTCCCAAAAGCACAAGAACCTGAAGTAGTCAGTAAAGGAAAGACATGGTGCAAGGTGGGTTCTCACTGCTACTAGGGCAGGGGAGAACAAGCAGGCAGGAGAATGTCTATGCATTTGATAAAATACCCAGAAAACAAAAAAAGGGACACCAGGACTGGTATATTTTCCACTCTCAGTTTCAACACTGAATATCACAAAGTATATTTCAGATCTGTAGGATCTGAACATACACGTTCAGACAGTCACTTCAGAATTCAGAGACAGGCTTTATGTTGGAGCACCTATCCCTGGATAGTTTCTCTGCCCCTGTGGGATGGTGGCAGCAGGGCATGGAAATCAGCTGAAGGACTTCAATCCAATCATTACCCAAATCAGCAGGATTGCTGTACAGGTTCTTTCCTTGAATAGCACTTGTCACATCTCAGTTGAGGCGGGGGAGGGGGGGAAGAGGGGAAATGAATGAAAAGCATCAATCTACCATCATGAGAGGCTGTCACTTGTCAACAGTCCTCCCAAAGCTGAATGGGGATTTTACCTGGGTAAAGGCAACACAGAACAGAATGAACTCAGGAACCATTATTCAATAGGTAAAGCTGTAAAACTCCCCATACATTAGTTACTTGTATTGTAGTAGGTGGTCTAGCCCCTTTTGTATCAGGGCAGTGAGGTTTTTCACAAGAATCTTATGTCAGGTAATGGTACATGCCCCTCAAATTCTCTAAAGCGTGATGTGTTTACCTACAAGTGTAGTGATCCTGTGGAATCACAGCTGGAATAAGTTAAAGAAGTAACAATGCCAAATCCTCTGGTAGACAGAAATGACAGCCAGTCCTCTTTTATGCTCTAGCTGGGGCAGCATTCCTATCACTAGGAATAAGGATAATATAAATTAGCGATTCTTATTCACCACATTTCCGATAAACATTTAGATTGTGACCACCTAACAGCAAAATACAATTAGAAAAGACAAAATGCAGTAAAAATGCTTTCTGTAGCATTATTACAAGGACCCAAGTCTACCTTGGCAGCAGACCCAGAAAAAGAGTTCTGAAGTTTCACACACCTGCTCACTGAGATTGAAGTATCACCCGAGAGCATCGCTTAAACAATCATATATAAAAATATAACTATAAAATCTTGTACACAAATTACCACTTTTTCCTTGTCATTTAAAGATGACACTGATTTTATTTTCCTCGTATAAAAGGAGACATTTTACTCTGCATTGATTTAACAAATATTCTTAATATATTCATAACAATAGAGCAGCTAAAAAGCTGTTCTAATCTCTAAAAGAATCTTTATCGTCTGCACATATGATATATATTGTAAACAATCACTCCAAAAAATAGTTTTGCTAAAATGATTATATTGCACTCAGAATTCTGAAATTCTCATTCTCCCTTTTCATCTTAAATCACGGATCAGCTTCATTTTTTCATAAAATGGAGCTTTAATTTTCTACTAAAAACGAGTAGGCATGCAACCAGTATAATACAATGTACTTAAAATGTCAGAAAAAGGGTGTTTGGTTATGAAACTGGAGTAAGGAACAATTCTCAGATAGGCCACATGAGTAGTATATTGTAAACATTCTGCTGGCTCTAAGGTGTCACAGATGCTGTAGAATGCAGTCTAGTTCAGCACCCAAGAGGTACAGAGAATCTGTTCAAGTGTTCTGTACTTCAGCAAATTTCCATGCAGCAATGGCACGTGGAATAGGCTACACACACATAAAGACAGAGCAATGAAACAAAGGTGATTACTCAGCTAATACTGACCTTATAGAAACAGGACCAACTGTTTTAAGTTCACTGTAATCCTTAAATGCAAGCTTTCCAGGTCATTACATTTTCTAACACGGTAATGAAACTCTTACTCCTGCTGCAAATGAAGTACAGAACTAGATTCCCTACTCGTAGCTTACATGGACTGTATACCAGTGGCAGTCTGGACACTACCCTCAGCCTCAAACATCCCAGCAAGATACCATCATGCAGAATGTCACCTTACTTTGCTTATGAAAGTGACACCCTCCTCTGTGCACTGGAGCAAGAAACACAGGTAATGGAGGGGGGGAAAAAGAAAAAAGGAAAAAAAAAAGAAAGAGGAAAACAACGTCCTTATGCAGAAAAATAAAACCTCAGCCAGTGTGAAGAGGCCACAGATCTTTAAAATTCAAATGAAGGCTGTTTTCTCAACTCAGTTCTATGAAAGATTTCTGCATCAAACCCATTATCTTCAGGTAACATAATTTCTTTGGAGTCCCTGAGATACTACAGCTCTCGGACAAATGGAGAGACTGACTTATTATACAGATTAACAAGGTGGAAGCCAATATATAGCACCCTGAGTTGCAGATGAAACAACAGGAATGGGTAACCCACTCCTCAACAGCCAAGAGATGCTGAAGAAAGTGCAGAGGAGAAATTGGCTAGGGAATTATACTTACTGCACAGGAGAACAGGAAAAAAAAAACCTGAAGTATTTCTAAAAGGCCTTTCCCTGTTATTAGAGCAGTGAAGAAAAAGACAGCAGTCAGAGGGAAGAGAAAGGCCCTGAAGAAATATGGCCTAGATGTACAGCAAAACAATAATGCAAAAGCAGAGACAAGTTTGGCAGTCTTTTTCCAAGTGTGGCCCGAAGGTTAAGCACTCCAGCAATCACTCAGAACTGTCAGCAATCACTGACCAGTACTCTGGATATAAACCAGAAATAGAAACAGATACCTTTCCCCCTGAAACTACAGAAAAAATACAAAGGGGAAAAATACAAAGTACCAATCAAATCAGAGAATACTTTCCATAGTCAGAAATGAAATACTGGCTTCAGAAATAATACAGCCATTTGCTCTGTATCTTAAACAGGGTTAATTGTAAAAAAGAAGTGCTTGTAAAATCTAAGTTTGACATATTTTATTTCCCAGGATATTGCTAAATAATTTTGCAGTTAAACCAAAAAGGAAGAGAGATCGGAGATGAATATGGAATACTTACAACTAGAAAATGGTTGCTGAACCATCTGAATTTCTATAAAAGCAACAATAAAAATGTAAAAACACAGTCCCACAAAACTAATTAGAATCTGAAATACCAGATTGTCTTCACAATGGCCACGATATGAATATTGGTGGAGTTTTGCAACCAAAACTAACTGTGACTTTGCCAAAAGATGGCTTAATACAGCAATCAAAACATCTAAGAACTGGGACTTGTATTTCTGCCATTTCCTATTCTCTCAGCTTTTCAGCATTCAGTGAATTTAATGCTGAATTGCATTAATAGTTTCTATTAAGCAATTCTCATTTGAAAAAAATTGCTGCCTGGTCACAATTTTACTCTCTATGGAGTTGTGCTGTATCTCAATCCATTCTTGGGAAAATAAAGAAAAGTGAATAAAAAGCTAAACAGAAACTGACATGCTATAGAAGCTACCTCTGAAGTATCCTAAGTCTGGAAAATATTTGTGACATTACACAGGCTACTGCTGACACAAAGCAAAAACTGCAGTTTAACCGTTTCATGAATATGAACAATGCACTTGTTCCCAGCCATTTAGAATGATCTGACATTCCAAATGTTTGTAAAAATTGGGTAATAAAAGAATTAAGTCAATACCCTTAAGTATAATAAATAATGGTGTTTATTACGGTCGGGGTTGACCACGAGCGTTGGTTCCATATCTGCTTGGGACATTTGTAAAACCAGTTCTGAATCCTTGAGTTGCTCCCATTCCCGGTATTCCGAGTCCTTGGTTGAGTACACTGCTGTAGGGTGCGGATCCATGATTCAAGCCCAATCCATAGGGCTTTGTCTGAGTGTTCAAAAGAATGACTGGACTCACATTTTTGCCTGGCGTATTAAAAGCAAATTCTGGCGGTGGGCTGCTAGGCTTAGCTGGAGTGGATGTAACAGGGTTCAAATTATCAGCAGCTTTCAAAGATGGCATTGGAATAATATGATGATCCGAAATGTTCAGAATATTGTTTGCAATAGGCACAGATGATAAGGTAGGTCTGATCCAGTCATCTTTGAAAATCTGAACAGTCAAGGTAGAGACCAGTGCGTATAATCTGTTAGTGACATGGGCAAGTACCATTTGTTCATTTGCATCTCTCCGAATTCGGACATGTACTGATCCAGCCTAGAAAGGGATAAAAATAAGTTGGCTGTTAACTGTTATTTCAGTAAAGATTCTTCACATAAATTCAAGATGAGGTAAGTTATCCTGCAGAGTTACACAAAAACCTTTCACAGTGGAGACACTACTAAGTTGTGAAACATATTTACTAATTCCATAATTAGGATACATTTTGACCTTTCCTAATGTGTTGATCTTTTATGAACATATCAAGATCACCATTCAGATCACCATTCAAGATCAAATTTAGGAAAGAGTGTCATCCCTGTGCTGTTGGAGCGGGCAACAGGACAACACTCACAGCTCAGATCAGGACCGTAAGCAAGAATACAGGCAATGCCTGCTGTGGAACTCAGACTGAGTTTCTCTTGGACTGTAGGCTGCCCCTGCCTTCTTCCCAGTTGACACTACCCCATTCACCCTGTACTACTGCTGCAGAAGAGAACAGGATGCAAACCAAAACCTCTCACGTGCTTTTTCAGTTCATATTTAATAAAGAACATGGTTCACGGCTTGTGCTATGTAAGCCGTTTTTACTTCAGATAGTGCAGCTGAAAACATACCCAGGTCTCAGGAAGTTTCTACTGCAAGCTCGAAGATGCAAATAGGTAAATAAGCATACAAAGGTTTTATAATCATCTGATCACTCCAGCAATGCTGTGATCCAGTATTTTGGGTGGCAGAATAGTAAACTAGAAGTTATTCTCACATCAGCCAGCCAGACCTGCTACCTTTTTCTTTTCCTAAGAAGGGTAACATACTGAAGAATTCAGAAGTAGAGAAAAATTCTACAATTCTTAATTTTCTTCCTGTAACAACATATCTGCATCACCTTAGGAATAACCGAGATCTGTATGATCATTCTGGACCACAAAAAAACCCAAACCCTAATTTCTTTCAGCTTCAGAATATCAGTATACAACTGTAGGTGCTCCTTTCATCCCCTTCCCCCAAAAATGCTGAAAACATGTTTCTGCTGTAGAGCTTTGGTACCTGAAGTTTTACAGTTTTCCTCTTCTCCCCTCTGAGACAATTTACACTAACATACCATTTGAAAAGTTACTATTGAGGTTTTCTTCACTGCCAAAATACAAAAGAAATCCTATAGTTGTAAAATGCATGCTTTAATCCAGAGCTGCAATGTACATAAATAATATTAAGCAATAACAAAGCTTTAAAAAACCAGAAAGGACAAGGGAAGAGAAGTTTTGCAATATATCACAGGGACTGAATACTAACTCTTTTTTTTTTTAAGATTTCAGAAGAAATACTTCATTTAAATAAAAATTTAATAACTCTCAACTTTTTTTTTAAAGGCTAAAGACAATAAAGACATAACTTACCAATGTGCCAAAACCCAATGTCCAGAAATGCTCATTTCGAACCTCCAAGACACCATCCAAAGTTGAAACCTGATTTTACGTGAACATCCAGAAATACGAAAATAAATTAGAAAGAATGTTTCAAGTCCTTTTGGAAATGTACTTTTACACATCTCTGAATAATACAGCATTTTCAGCAGCGAAATAGAAAAGCTTCCATACACAGAACAGATGATGTCTGTTAATGATGCCACTAATGCTTATCTACTGTATTTTTGCTACCCTTGAACATGCAAATCCATCCAAAAAGTGGTTTAAGTAACTCATTTCAAGTAACTCTTGCTGCCAAATTGCAGTATTTTCTCAACCTGACATGCTATAAGTCAACAGCTGCCTCTACTCCTTTTCCTCCCTGCATTAACATCTGCAAACCACTCAACGGTAGCTCAAGTTTAGTTTATAAAAAGAACAACCTGTACTATTAACAGATTTGTTACGGATATCTGAATGACACTATTTATCTTAGACAGCAAGATCCATATTTGCTACATGCAGCTAAAACATTTAAAAAAAGTAATTCTTTTGCAATCTTCACACAAACCCCCTTCATATTCCTAAATGCTTACTTAATGTTAGCTGTGCGCACTGTGTTATGTATTATACACTGACTTACCTCTCTAAGAAGTTTATCCAACTGGCCAATCACATGAGGTGGGGTTGTCTTTAAGAAAAAGAAGGGAAAAAAAGGAGGAAAAAAAGAGTTATAATAAAGATTAAGTGGCCTTGTTTAAGTAAGAAAGCCTTTAAGCCTGATCTATCCACACAGGAGACCAATGGCATTAAACAAATTCATGATGCATACTTCCACTGCCCTTGAAATCCTTCCAGCATGTCACAAATTCCCCTGGGAATGCTCCCCATTCAAATGCTTAAACATAGTTCATGTTTGGTTGGTCTTTGTTTGTTTTGCTTTTTTAAATAAGACATTTAACAACACTGAAACCACAAAATCTCTTGTTTTGTGACACCGCCTTACCTGGAGTAGTACTTTTCCACTGTAGACGCTCATGGGATACATGGTACCAAATGTCATCAAAGCAATTGCTATAGCAGAAGCTGTGTCTACAGCAAAATAGTTGCTAGAAAGAAAGAGCAATGTTAAAGGAAAAGAACTTTTTAGATTTTTTAAAAGCGTAAGAATTTTCATTTGATTCTTTTTCATTCTTTTCAATTACATACCCTTACAGAACATTACATATACTGATCTCATCTGAACTATACCTCTTTGAAAAAAGACAAACATATTCACGGAGTTGCAAAGCCATTCATACAAAATACAGCTTTGATGAGATCACTCCTTCCATGTAAAAGTTGCAATTTCTCATAGACTGGATACAAAAGTTTCTTTTTTTAAACAACTGTACGTACTTGATTTCAATGAGCATATATGTAATGCAAAGAGCTAGAGCTCCAGCAATATCAATCAAGACAAAAGGGTTCATTCGTGGCAGAAAGATGCTACTTAATCCTGGGATGATTCCACAAATACTGTAACAAAACAGAAAAAGCGGTTGTCAGCTAGCTGTTCAGCATTGCTTCAAAACCCAAAAGTTACATACCCACTATTTCAGCATTTGACTTCAAATACACTTTGCAGTCATAGCAAATTGTGTCTATGAGAACTGTGAAGGCCCTTCTAATTCCGCTCAGTTTTGTAATAGCCTGATGTCAGCAAATATTAATCAAGTTTAGATCCATTTCATATTCTGTCTCATATCTGAAACTAATACCTCTTGCATCTTAAGTGTGCTTCAAGTCTATCTTCCCATCTACAAAATGTTATGTTACGCTAATCTTTACAGAGTGTTTTTACATGTTAAAATACATATCTTGTGCTACTTTCTTTTTTCTAGTAACACAGCTAACTGTGTCGGCTGTATGAAACACAAGTGCTTTACAGGTTGAGATATTGCTATTACATATACATCAGTCTTGGGGCAGGGAGGGTGTTTCCATATCATTAGTCTTCAATCCATCTGCCACCTTCTGTGTTCAAAAGCCAAAGCTAACTAATCGCTGGGACTCTGAAAAGAGGGAAAAGACCAGCTACTTCAGTAAGCAAAAAAAAACCCATGAGGGAACACTGGGAAAAAATATTTATCGTTATCTCCTGTCAGTGAGAGCATGAAGAGAGAAAAGGGTTTCTGTACTTCCCAGTGAATGTAAGTGCATGTCACGTACTGGACAATTTAAAGGAAAAACAGCATTAAACATTTTGTTGCTCTGTTTAGAGCCAACCTATGTTTAGACATCACATGCTGGTCTGTTCCTGTAAGACTTTTCATCAACGTAATTATATACAGGTGCGGATAACTTGTAATCAACACTGCTTCACAGAACACATCTGAAATAGCTGTAAATGTACTACCAAAATTTACATTTTCTTAACCTGTAGACAATTATGTCAACAATTTTTATCTCACAACCCAAAAGCCATTCTAGATTCTTGATCTGGGAGCCCTTCAAGTTACCTGTGTCCTCTGAAACACAGTGTTAAAGAAAGACTCTGCTAGAGTCTGTGATAGTTATCCACTGGTTTTTTTACACTGAAACTCCAGGTACATGGACAACCCTATTGTTAGTCTTCCAGAGCTGTTTCACACAGTTTGGGTTTGATGACACAATACTTCACCCCATATAAAGTTAATTCTTCTGTTTAACAAGCCAGTGTTCTCTGTTTCCCTCAACTGTATACAAAAATCACAACATGCAGGAACAGATGGGCTTTGCCGCATACTTAACTTGTTATACAATATGGCTTAACATTTTGATACTGACAGCATAAATACTTGGAAAAACACGTATGGCTCAAAATAACTGTTTCTGACATCTGATAAAATTATTTGCAAACAATGTTATCTCACATTTAGATATTCAGTACTAGAAGGAGAGTTGATAGACAAGACGAATGAGCCACGCTGCTTCAGCCCCCGGAAGACACACACATTCAAATTTTCTGCTGGACAGGTGAGGAGTTTCCATAGCTATGTTTCAGTGAGTAAGCTGTTTCATGTATCACATTTAAACTACACCCATCCTAGTCACTTGCCCACCTCACAGAATAAACAAACATAAATTAGTACAAATATATCACTGAGGTAATGCATGTTGAGCTGTACAGTCCAAGTCTGTGCAGGAGAAAGCCAGATTACCTCACCTTAGCCAAGGAGAATTACATACAATGTACTGAATGCATTCAGAGCGAAAGTTGTGTATTTTGATTAGATTGATGCATTCGAGAAATGTAAGAGACAATGTCTGCTCTAGAGTTCCTGCACTAGAGCTACAGTAGGCAAAGCTATTTTAAAAGCTCTAATATACAACAGTTTACACCTCAATACCCATCCAAATTGTTATTATACACAAAACCCCCAATACTACCTTCCAGAAACTTAACAATTTGGAAAAACATTTTTAAGCTTTACCTTCTACTAAGATCTGCAACATGCTCCTGAAGCCAACTTGTGCTGGCAGCTGCAAAAGTAAAAAAGGTAATGAAATTATTATGAGTAAAAGCATACATTTTAAAGTACACTTAAAGTTTTAAGAGAAGAAACCAACACATTGTGAATGAAGAAATGCATCTTAACAGACTGACTGTTGCTTAAAAAAGTTCTACTTTTCCAGGCAGTAAAATGTTTATCTCTCATTATCATCTCAGCTGATTATGTACAAATATAATTGTAGATTATAACCATCAAAATTACCTTTTATATAACACGAATTATAATATACAACTGTAAATAATTTACAGTTAGTGGGAACGACTGCAAGCCTACTTCACACTGGAAAAGTCCCAGGTAAAAGAGCTATTAAGAGGAATGATTACATTAATTTATTTTTAATCTATTAATATATCCATAAGACATCTTTAAAGTTCTGATATCTGACAGATGATCTTCACTAGCTAAATCCAAAAAGATTGAAAATAAAGGGTATTTCAGCATTAAAATGCTACTCAGTTTATCATGCTAATGACTACATGCTACTTGAATGACTAATAGCAACTCTAAATTCCATGAAGTTATATTTATGGAGGTAACGGTAATATATACCCACAGGTTAAGCAAGTTGCCAGGCAAGTTATACCTTGATAAAAATAGGAACATTAGCATCCTTTCCCAATTCTTGTTGTAGATTAATTTATCACATACCTTCAGAGACATAAGCAAAAGGCTTATTCCTAACGGAAAGCATTGTAAATAAGTTGAAAAAGAGAGCCACGAAAGTACCAACCAGCAGTCGCCCCCTAGGGAGGGGAAAAAAAAGGTACCTTAATCTCACGTCATCGCAAAATGTGAAGTCAACCTGTAATTACTAGTAATAATCTTTCACTGAGGCTGAAAACAAGAGTAAGATAAACTAATGTAATGCTTAATAACCGGCAGTGTATTATCATTTCAAGGGTTGTATGAGATCACTCAACTTCATACGCTAGTGTTATCACATTAGGCTGTATGTAGTGTTCAGAACATTGAGTAACAGTTCTTAACTAACTGCACACATACACACACATATAAGTTTTTCCTTTGAAGACATAAATGCATTGTCCCTTCAGTAGTAGAGATAAAAAAGGCTGTTTCTACGCAATTATGCCCTATGCCCCTACCCTCTCCCAGGAGAACTACAACTTCACCATACATCACATGGCCCAGTCTTTTGTCCCACAACACCTTCTTTTATGTGTATTCACACAAAAGAAAACACACTCTCTGTGCTATCCATAGTCTTCATCATCGTTGCAACACCTCCAGCTCGCAAATCATCACAGCATCCTCCCCCCTATATACCAGGCCTCCTAAGATGCCTCTATAAGAAATGTGACTAAACTAGCAAAACCCACAACATATAGTTAAATCATTATTTAGGAGAGCATGTGCTTTACATTTCAACTGTACCTTGAAAAAACTGATTGCAATACGCCTTGCACATAGTTTGAAACAAATGCTGAAGTACCAAAACCCAATCTGGTGTTGAATATATTTGCATAATCAATACATGCTAGATTAAGTATTAAAAACACAAAGGGACACAAGAAAAAATATCATTTTACATGCCAAAATAATTTCTTACGTGTGTATCTCGGGCTGTTCCAGGAACCGCTCTGCGCTACAAAAATAATTGAAAATCCGAGTCATATTCATACAATAAAACATCTTTGTTTTGATACCTGAAGTATATTTTTTCAGTTCTGAAGAGTTAATTGCCCTTCATAAAAAACCCCTCACAGATACAGTATTGCAAAGAAAATAAATAAATAAATTGCTTAAATCAGCACAGCAGATTTCGTAAGTTGATCAGTACAACAGATCAACCTGTAGTATGGAATCGCTAAGTTAATACAGCTCTCCATGGAGAGAGCCTTTGAACAGAAAAATGAAAGGTAAGCTGCCTCAGTTTTAAATACCAGATGTTTACAAGAGAAGAGGTTTTGTTAAAACTAAAATATTCTTTTAGGCTAAGCACCTGAAACACAAATGCTTCCAAGTGTAGCTGGTATGTCAAATTCATATTTGAGCACATTTTGAGGGACTGATGAAGTTGATAAACATTCAGATCCTTCATAAATTATGAAATTGCTTTACAAAGTAACTGAAGTAAAAAAAAAATATCTATTAATGAACTTAAAAATCAAGATGCACAGGGAAATTCATCAATTCCTATCACCACATCTAAAGCCTATGTATAGTGTAATCAATGTGAGTAGCAAGGGTTAGCATTATATTTTAAAATCTGAACGTTTTTCTATAGTAGCTCTCTACAGATTGCATCTATAGAATGCATATGCTTTTGCTCAAACTTGAGTATCTCTGCACATCACAAGAAGTTGAAGAAAGTGGTACATATCCCTACCTTTCTTTCAGTATAAAAAGAGCACCAAGCTGTGCCAGAACTGTAGATGCAAATACTGCTAGAACTTCAAACCTTTCAAACCTGAAATTTGAGAAGGAAGTTTAGAAAACTGGACACTGAACAGTGCATCAAATGCATTCTGGTCCTTGGAAGGAACCAGCAAGATAGACATACTATTTCTGATTCTTTCAAGAGCAGATTGGTGGGAACAAACTGAAAGTTTTATGGAACAGGCATTATTTTCAATGTCTTCTAAGCCAAAACTCCACATATCACAAACAGCTTAAAATCAGTATTTCCTCATTCTTTTTGCTGTCCCTCCCCTTCCTGCTCCTCCCCTGCTCTATAAAGCATCAGTCTTGGTCCTCCTTATTTTTAGGCTTTCACACACAGATCATGCCACAAGAAATGGCTGTTAGAGGATACAGGCAATGAAACTCAGCAATGTATCGCATGGTGTGTTATTAAATATTAGATCCTGTTATTAGTACTTACCCAAACGAATACATGGGGCTGGGCTTCTTCATCGTTACCCAGTAGCTTATTAGACATGTTATCAAACTGAAAAAAAGTGGGAGAATGACACTATGATAAGTAACTGCAGCCTTCACAAACTAGATAATCTACAAATGCACACTTCAGCCATCAGATCTGAACATATGAGTATTACCACGTCTTACCACAAACTCAACACCTCCATCACTGTCACTGTCAGTGATGGTTCCAGTGAATCCAGAAAGGTTGTGTTTGGGAATAAAACTGAGACTCCATGAGGATGTTTCAGCTGTTCCCATAAAAAGTGCAGTGAATAATTTTAGCAAAATGATAGTTGCTCAAATTCCCTACACCGGGAGAAGCTGAATGCTGTATTCACAGCATGCTGTGCTTACAAAGGCTACTGCCAACCTTCTTCAATATAGAACATCCCTCAGCCTAAATGAGCCATAACTCCAAATGCAATGCACTTTAACAGAGGCCCCGAAACAAATAAGCACAACCAGTGTTCAGATTGTACCTACTCCATGAATTTTTCTGAAAGGGACCTGGAGAACATGACAGCAGGTACCCCAGAATGTGATTAACAGGCAGCAAGGGTGGTTTGAGACAATCCTTTTAACACTGTCTGGTATCACACACAGTAATGTCACACATAGTAATAGAAAGTACAAAGCAAAAGTCTATGAAAATAGCAAATTTGACACTAAGTAAATGCTCTTCTACATGTGCTTTAGAAACTTGCTGACCTGGTTTCAGCTGCGATGGAGTCAATCTTCTTCCTAGTAGCTGGTGCAGTGCTGTGTACACCGGTATTTTAGTTGCTCCTAAGCAGCACTTACCCCTGTCAAGGACTTTTCAGTCTCTCATGCTCTGCCACTGAGAAGGGGCACAGGAAGCCAGGAGGGAGCAGAGACAGGACACCTGACCCAAACTAGCCAAAGGAATATTCCATACCACAGCACGTCATGCCCGGTATATCTGTGTAGGGGGAGTTGGCCAGGAACCACCGATAACTGCTTGGGAAAGGGCTGGGCATCTGTCAGCAGGTGGTGAGCAATTGTATTGAGCATCACTGCTGTTCATTGGGTTTTTTGGTTTTATCTCTGTTATCTCCTTTTTTTTTCTAATTATTATTATTACCATATTGTACTCCATTTTAATTATTAAACGATTCTCTCAACCCACAGGTTTTACCCTGTCGTGGTTTAAACCCAGTCAGGCAATTCGTTCGCTCACTTCCCCCCCCTTTCTTGCCCTCCCCCTGCTCCCGGAGGGACGGAGAGGAGAACTGAAAAGAATGCAACTCCCACAGGTTGAGATAAGAGCAGTTTAGTAACTAAGGTATAACACAAATCACTGCTGCTACCACCAATGATAATAATGATAAAGGAAATAACAAGGGAAGAGAATACAACACCTCACCACCAGCCAACCAATAACTCGCCCCCCAAGCCCGACCAAGCTCTGACCGATACCTCCTCCAACCCTGCAGTCTCCCAGCCCTTCCGGCTAACTCCCAGTTACATCCTGGGCATGACGTGCTGTGGTATGGAATACCTCTTTGGTCAGTTTGGGTCAGGTGTCCTGTCTCTGCTTCCTCCTGGCTTCCCCTCCCCCCTGGCAGAGCATGAGGCTCACAAAGTCCTTGGCCAAACCAAAACATCGCTATCAGCTCTGTTCCCGAGCTGAAAGTCAAAACACTGCACTGCACCAGCTACCAAGAAGGAGAAAAATGACTGCTACTGCTGAACCCAGGACAACCCCTTCTCTGATTCTCCTCACCATCCTACTTGGGGCTGGGCAGGAGGAGTGAGCGAGTTGGCTACATAGTACCGAGGTGCTAACTGGGCCATGATACTTGCCTAGAAATACTGCAACCTGAGAAAGGCCATTTAAATGAGAACGACTATGATAAGCAAGATGGCAGGACTGACACATTTGTGTCACTTCCTTTATATCCCAGTAAAAAGTGAAGAAAGCTCTCCATTAAACTCTTCTTCTAGAGAACTAGATAAACAAATGCAAAATTCAACATCAAAACTTTCCCAAGATGAAAAAGGCTGCTGAGCCAAGATGACAAAACTCAGTGGATATAGACTTCTAAGAGAAATGAAAGATACATTAGAGTTATATCACAATTCTAATGTAGCCACAGATCAAGTTAAGCATTTTTGTGCCTATATCAACCATTCATTTTCCTTTCTGCATGTTTGCTGCTGTTATTTATGAATGTTTCACTGTCAGTCAGATAAGCTATAGTATATAGTGGACAAAACAGACTGATGAGCCATACTTTTTATAAGGTAGTGAGCCAGCAATGAAGATAATGTAGGTTAATAATTAAAAATTACATGTATTTTATGCAGTTTATTTCCCAATCACTGCTGCCAACCTGCATCTCAGGTAAGAACTGAATATATTTCATGTCTGCAATATCAATATTATCAAAAGTGCCTAGAACTTTCATACTTAGGTAGTTTTAATACCATTTCATTAGAAAACAGGAAGAAAAAACTTAAAATATCTAACAACCTTATTGGAAGACTGCATGGGATACAGCTCTTCAAATATTTTGAAACAGAAACAGGATTACATACTCCTTGTTTCCTGATGCTAAAACTGAGGGATACTTCAGAACCAACAACTGTGGCATTAGGGAAACATTCCAAGTGACCAAACCAGATGATAGTTTGATGCTAGATTCTGTTTTATGTTGTTACACATCTGCACAGATGATGGAACTGATTTGTTACTGGTCATTCTCAATACAGCTGTGGTGTTTCTCATCATGTATTTATAGAGATGTACAATTTTGCACTCATTTATGCTATATTTAAAGCAGTGTTTCTATAGTGATGACTAAATAACGTGTTTGTATCTGTAAATAAATTTTATATGCATAGAAATTATACAAAGACAGGCACAAATGAACAGTTAAGACTAAATGGAAAAAACTCACCTGAAAAGGTCAAAGATTGTCAAATATGTGTAAGCAGTTAAAGCTGTAAAAAAAGCAAATATTAAAACAATATAACTTTTCAGTGCAGACATCACTTGTATTCTTCTAAGTCCCTCTTGTGTAGCTTTTACATTTATCATCTATATGAACTGTTGATGTTGATAGAGAAGTCCCTGTCTTTTGTATGCGTATATAATACGAATGTCCTAAATACATCGATATATTGAACCTCATAAACAAGTTGATTATGGCAATCCTAATTCTGATAAAGGCTGTAATAATGCCCAGACATAAAAGATATTAAGCTTGTGACTAAGCTGTGGCTATGAATTTAAATACAGACAATTCAGGAGATCTTCCAGTAACACATCATCTGCCAAAGCAAGAGATCCCTAATACGCATTACTGCAGCAAAAAGTAGGTTCACCAGAACCTTTTACTTGTTTTGCTTCTCTGACCCATCTTGAAACTGCAAGAATACTTGTGTCACAAACTAAAAAATGTAAGGCATTCTATTTTTAGTAGAGGTGACGCAAAGCATCTTGGAGCCCCTGTACAAAATAATGAAAAGAGGCACTCCTGGAATCAGAGAAGCATTTTGTCACACTATAAACATCTTGATTCAACTGCAAGTCAGGGTCTCTAGATCACTGGCACTATTTATATAAGGAACAGGTTTGAGGATGAGCTTAAAAGTCTACTTTTTTGCAATCCTAAGGCTAAAATGGGTACTGCAGGAAGAAAATAACCAGGTCTAGAAACCCTTGCAAACTTTGGATGACTTTCACCATCCACACTTGCCTTGAGAGATGATTCTTGAGAAATTACTCTAAACTGACTTTGGCAGATCAAAAAGCAGCACTTTCCAAACTTGGCTTTGTAGCCACCTAACTCCATTATGTGCTGAACTTTGCTTTTGTAGTATGTTGGAACTTCATAACCTAAGAACACGTGATAGTTAGTTGTAGTTTCAGTACAAGAGAGACACCTACCTATGCTGTTTGTAGAGCTGCACCACATTAGCAGGAAGCCAATACATATTAAATTTATAGCACCAAACAACAAGATCTTCCAGGACTGTTGATGAGAATAAAGATATATTTTACACCTTCCAAAATTCAGCAGAAATGGTTTCTCCTCCCTCCCAAATATTTACAACTCATTTCAGAACAAGCATACTTTAACTTTACAGATTCTCAAAACTCGTTTATCAACAGCGCTTGTGCAACATGCTTTTTGGTCTAAAAAAAAAAAAAATAAATCACCCCTGTATAATATTTGCATTTTATTACAGCACACACCATCTGACTTTTGAAGACAGACTTATAGAACTCCTGGAGCACCTCCCGTATGAAGACAGGCTGAGAAAGTTGGGGCTGTTCAGCCTGGAGAAGAGAAGGCTGCATGGAGACCTCATAGCAGCCTTCCAGTATCTGAAGGGGGCCTATAGGGATGCTGGGGAGGGACTCTTCATTAGGGACTGTAGTGACAGGACAAGGGGTAACGGGTTAAAGCTTAAACAGGGGAAGTTTAGATTGGATATAAGGAAGAAATTCTTTACTGTTAGGATGGTGAGGCACTGGAATGGGTTGCCCAGGGAGCTTGTGAATGCTCCATCCCTGGCAGTGTTCAAGGCCATGCTGGATGAAGCCTTGGGTGGCATGGTTTAGTGTGAGGTATCCCTGCCCATGGCAGGGGGGATGAAACTAGATGATCTTAAGGTCCTTTCCAACCCTAAATATTCTATGATTCTAACTTATATCAGAGGGTTCCTTGATTTGTGCTGGAATTCAGGTACCAAAACTATCTGTGCATATTCGGTTTACAGTTGTACTGAACACATCAAATATAAGTACAACTCTGGAGAGCACTGACTGTCCGAGACAAAACACAGCAAGGAATTCAGCTTCAGAGCTGAATTTCAGTTTTTAAGCACAGCTCATAAGCTTCAAAGAAAAAATGTCAAAATACACTCATGTCAGTAATGTAGTTTAACTTATCACAGCTAACATCTTTTTATTATCATTCACTTTTTAAAAGACTTACCCTCCTATCTGCTGCAACCAGCCTAAACTCATGTGTTAACTTTCCAACCAATGATCTCTGTGATTTGCGGAACAGATGTATTGTCCCCTTAAAAAATATAACAGTTTAATTAATATCAATGACTTAGAGTAAGGTTTTTTTCCACTAGAGACAGCCATAAACATTAAATACAATATTTTTCTAACAGCTTTACATGGTTATTATATTAGAAAATGATGAATGCTTTGGAATTAAGCTTCATTCAGATATAGTTCAAGATTACTGGAAACATACCAAAATACCATTTCAAGAGTGGTTTATTTACTTTTATTTAAATAAAGCTACTACAGATGTTCTGAAAACACAAATATTTTTCTTTATCAAAGCACACTTCCCACCCAAGGCCAGCTGGTTTATTAAACAGGAAAATATTGTTTATACACATATACATAAATGAGAACCCCTCAGAGAAATAAAACCAATGCTGCTATCATCTGTAACATGATGGACACAAAGCCAGTAACATGATGACAGACACAAACAATCTCAGTTATGGCTTAAGCTAAATACACACAGTAGATGTGGCCACTGTAGGAGCTCCTTCTCCCAAATCCCAGTCCTGTGTATATAAGCTCTTCACTGAGGTGGACAGAACATACACACATGTAGGAGATGGGAGCGAGGGGTGCTATGTGGCTCTCCTGAAAGTGTGACAGGGAGCAGACTACCAGAAAAATTCATCAACTGTAATGTTTGCTCCCCTTTCTCAGAGGACTCAGGCTTCTAGTTAGCTGTTCTCCATCCTACCCTCCTCACAAAGTAAGCTTTACACATGAAAAGCTCTTTTGATCTGCAGTAGAAATGTGTGGACTTGCAATGGATGGTCTGCCACCTGCAACGATTTGGGGCTGGATAAAATAAGGTTTGATTGTGAGCTACTGCACCTGTGACTGCCAACAGACGACAAAAAGAATGACAGAACATTATGGAAAGCTTTCCGAACGGGCAGAGGACTGCTGCTCTACCACCTCAGCACCCACCGCTGTGTGCTGCTAGCACAGTACCACAGCTCCCTGCTCAGTGCAGGACGTGGCACACTGAAGCTGTGTGAACCTCGTGCAAAGCCAAGCTAGCAGCAGCTCACCCAAGAAGCTAGCTCCAACTCAGCACATGTTGCACTTTGGTATTAAAGCTTCCCTAAATTCCAGCCAACACAACAGAGAGAAACCTCTGCCACGGAGGGTCCCCGTAGAGTGCTGCATCAGCTGTATGGCAATTGTATAGCTGATGTACGATCTACGGGACTGCGAGCGTCTGCTCCAACAACGCCAACAGGTAACAGTACCTGGTACTGCTGCCGACTCATCTGTGCTCAGCATAACAAGGTAAAGTTTAAGCAGCCGGTCGAACAAGTACACACAGCGGTCGTTCCGTCGGAGGCAAGCCATAACGGCGAGCAGCGGCAGCCCCGTACTTTCAGGGACACGCGGGAGCAGCGGCACCAACACCCGTTTGTCCCGATGTGAATTTCCCTTTTCTGACCGATGGAGCGTTCGGTGAAAACCCCGAGGCCGAACCGGGCTCAACCCGCAGCCCAGCGCACACCACCCACCCGTTCGGGGCGCTCCTCCAGCGGCACCTCCCACCCCAGCGTCCGCCGCCAGGACCCCCGGGGAGCCGCGCACGGGGGTGGCGGCGCGAGGACGAAGCGCTATACGGAAACCCGCACCGCGCGCTTCCCGCTGCCCCCGGAGCCGTTCAACGGCCGCCGGTGCCCGCCCCGCGGCGGAGCCCCGGCCGGGAGGGGCGGGTCCCCGCGCGCAGCCACGTCACCGCCGCCCCGGCGGGGCTCGCGCCAGGCGCGGGACGGCGGCGCGGCACAGTCGAGGCCTAGACCGGCACCGGGCGCGCTGCCCTACCCGGCCCCGGCCACCTCAGGCAGCGGCGGAACTCCCCCACCCGAGAGCGGCGGCCTCAGCAGCCTCCTCACCGTGCTCCCACATGCACCTTCCCCACCGCCCCCTCCCCCAGCGGGGCCACTCACCATATTATCCCCCGCACCGGAAAAGACGGCGCCATGCGAAGCCGGAAGAGGCGGAGAAGGCTCCCGTTGCTACGGAAACCAGCGGGCCCGTTAGGTGACGCGCGACAGCGGATGTGACGTATGGCGAAAACGGTATCTTCCTCAGGGCACCTCCTGCCGAGTCGGTGTCTGGCAGCGCGGTGGAGGCCGGGGAGCGCAGCGGCTGCACGGCGGGCACACTGCCCGGCCCTCCCGCCGCCCGTCCCCTGTGGAGGACGCTGCGTGTTATCTGCCCGTTACCCGCGAGGAGTCAAGGAGGGAACGCTGCTGTGGGGTCACGGTACGCTACTGCAGCTTTCCCCAGGGCGCTTTGGCTTCACCACGCTCTAGTGTGATTAATCCTCCACGCATAAGTACGCCTAAAATCACGTTAGCAGCGGTGCCGCCAGCCCCCTCTCTGCTGCTGTATCCTGTAGTCGCTTCGTTGAGGGATGAAATTCCGAGAACCGCTCCCGTTGCTCTGGGTGTATTGCATCAGTAGGACCGTTACAGTTTACGGGAGCGATCTGCAGTCAAAACATCCCAACGGCTGCTGCAGCGCAAAGCAGACTGAGGGAGGTAAACCAGTTGTACTTAGATCACTGCTGTGACTACTGCTGCTGAGGCTCTGGAACAGGGGAACATAGGTGCTGCAAGGTGCCAACCCTCCCCTTATGTAAGCTGGATAGCAGATCACTGAACTGTGCCCCATAGTTTGTCAGAAGGAACGCAGGAACAAAATACAGGACTGAAGTCTTCTTCAAAGTTAGGATAGCTTTGTCAAGGAAAATTGTTACAAAACACCTGCATGGAATTTAACGAATGGGAAGGTTGAGTTGCAAGGCAGTATAGAAGTAAATGGAAAAGAGCTAGGGGCAGGTACTGATGCTAGATAGCCAAAACCGCATAACACTGTCTTGTCTTTCGTCTTTTAACTGGCTTTTCAGTTGTCCAGCACCCAAGCTAAAGTCGTTAAAAATGTTGTATGCATCTAGTCTGTTCTGTGAAGCACACCACAAGACCTCTGTGTGGCTGAGAGAGGCCTGTACATCAACTGAAACCAGAAACAAGCCCAGGTCTTTACAATTAATCTTTTTCCCAGCCACGCTGGTGTGTTGTGTCCAGTTCCGGTGCATGTGCAGAGCATGCAACTTTGTTAATGACAATAAAATCATTCTTATTTTCCAGGTTTTGAGTATACCTCGTCCTTACAGGATGCAGTGTCATTAATACAGAAGTAGTATGAGATTATTTCATATCTTAGGGTATTTCTTGCCAGAGGAGGCATATAGTTAGTTATAAGAAACAGCACTTCCTACAATTCAGAGAGGATAAATACTGCAGCTAATAGCACAGCTGATAATTGCATTCTGCACGTAACAATGAACAGTCTTCAAGGATGTCTTAAAATGGAGGGGAGTTTGAGATCTTTTAGAAATTACAGATTTGAAAATAATATAAATTACAATCTTAGAAAGAACATATTGCACTTAGAGTCTATATTTGCCAAAAAAAAAAAAAAGTAGAATGTTCAAAGTATTTGGTAAAAACAAGATTTTACTCATTAGGTGGCTTGTAGGCTTCCGATATTCCCTTTTTTTTTTCTCCCTAGCTATACCACAGCATGCAGAATAAATCGCATGTGTTGAGGGCTGGATTTTAATTAAATTCTGTCTTTCTGCCTTCACCACTACATAAGTATTTTCTGTACTATCATTACACGGAATTAAAAAAATGACTTCGAGAAGGTTGCATAACTCTTTTGTCTGTTCCAGAGCCATATGCACCCTTGTAGGCAATGGGCTGGATTACACAAGTCCACAAACCATTTGGAAATCTGCAGAAAGAGGCTTCAGTGAAAAACAAACCCAAGTTTAAACTCACTTTTCTTTGTTAAAACATTAAGGTACAGAAAGAAACAGATTTTCATCTGACATAAGCCTGCATCTGACATAAGGCGTGCAGCCTTGTCTCACACAGTCTTGGCTGGAATGAAAAAAGATTTCTCTTTTAATGAGTCTAACATACTTCAGGGTATGCTGCCAAATCCATAAGCTCTGTAGATTTCAACACAGGAAGCTCTGGGATGTCGTTTTCAGGCTCTTGCTGCTTCACTAAATTTATCTTAAGCTTCTCTCCTCTACAAAAATAGAAGTCTATTTGAATATCTGTAACCTATACACAGAATTGCTAACTGAAATCAGTTCAGTGGCTCACAATCTACCTCCAAGCAGTAGTATTTCAGTCAAGGAGAAGCCCTGGATAATTATACTGCACAGACAACAATAGTATCTTTCTAACCTAAGGAATTAATGCTTGACAGAAGCAATAATAGCTCTCATGCTTCAGTCCAAAACATTGGTTTGGGTTTTTTTCCCCCGATTGCTGGATTGGTTTTATTTGGTTTCCTTAGAATTTAGATTGTTACCTCAAAAATAACAGCAGCACTCTTCCCCCAGCAAAAGAAAAGCTGCCATTTTGAGTCTAAGTAAGCTGGCTTCAAATAGCTATTTTCAGAGCTTTACTATGACTGCCAGAATGAAACCTCCTGGTTTTCACTGTCATTCAGCAGGACTAGGATAAGCAAACTTTCAATTTCAGCACATTTATTTAGGAAGTAGCACTACCGTTTACATTAAGAACTTGAGTTACATCCATTAGAAACTAAATGAGGTATTTACATATTTATTGTTCCATCATCTGGTATACAACACCTGGGTTATTTTTATTATTTTCAGTATAGGCTTCAGGTTAAATGGAAAGGCTCTTAGTTTGGACATTTTATCTGGTAGACAGAGAAGAAAACAGTAAGAACAGGACAAATGAAATTTTATTGTGAAGCTAAAGCTATGTGACTGCTCATCATGCTTTTTTACATTGCTTATTGAGAAAACGGTGTTTAACATTTCAGAAAACATTATTAAAAGAACATGAAAGAAAAGTGCTTCAAAACAACAAAATACAGGAATTAACCCCATCCCAGTCTGGAGTCATCCAATATATTCAATGGGGGTGGGGTTTACTGGTTTGTCTCCACCTTTGGTCTTTGTCACTTTAATCCAGATTTCTGAAAGGGCTAGCCCTTCACATGAATAAAAATTAGAATCATGTGGCAAAAACCCGTTTCTGTATTTCCAGTCCCTTTGATAGGTGTGCGACTATTAGATAAAGTACTTACTTCCCCACTCCTAATGATAAAGGACTCACAGAACTGGGAGTCTACACGCCTAGCCTCTTAGAAGAATACATCTCTATTAACCAACTACAAAGAATGCTGACCTTTTTCTTCAAATCCACTTCTCTGAAACAGGATTAAGAAGTGAATCTTATGAAGGTAAGGAGAGTCTTACAGCAAAACAAGTTTATCACCGTAGTTTACAGACATCATGTCAAGAATTTGCAAATTGAAAGATCCAACTCTGCAGAACCCAGTGTTTAGCCAATATATTTAATCCACTGGAGCGCGTAACTTGCCAATTATTGCCAAACTCAGGAGGTAGTTCTTGACAAAGTAAACAATTTCCACTCTAAGACAGTTAACGATTTACATGAGAAGCAGGAAGAACACAATACATATTTCCCCATACTTCAGAGGATGATTTTGTATTTGCAGGAAGCAACAGTTCAACTTCCTCATCCTGTGGGATTATAATTACAATATTTGAAAGAAAAAAAATATTGAAAGGAATATTTAAAGAAAAAATTCTAAAAGAACATAACTGATCCTTTGGTCAGCTCTTGGGATGACCAGCAGATCACAAAAATTCACACAGGTGAGTAAAACAACATCCTTCAACACTAAAAAGCAGCTCCAGAGAACCTAACAATGAAACCAGAAACTGCCTCTAATGAGCACTATGACTGAGATAACTAGTTGCATTCACTACCTGCTTGATACTTTTCATTCTATTTTGTGTATCTGGTAGAAGTCCCCAAAAACTAAAAACATGACAGAAGCTTGAGACCACTGCAGACAATGAATGAAAATCTGTAACCTACCATAGCGCCTCCTACCTCCCAAAACTGCCACACACAGAAGCATCACTAAAGCAATCGAGTAGCCAGATAAGCACATCTTAAGCACAACAATGCACTATCCATCTCTTGGGTAGGAAAGCACCATAAGAACCTAGGGCACAACGTTTCACATGGGTGGTTAAGGAAGCACCAAGTAGAATGTGCTTTCCATACTGGCTGTAGAACAGACATCACAGTTAAATTTGCCAGCATATCTCACGTGAGTATTCCCAGTGAATACTTCAATTTCACAAGATGAACTTTGCAGCAGTGCCAAGAAGTGCTAAAAAATGCTTGTTTAGAATAGAAAAACTATTTATTCCACAGCAGAAGGTAAGGTTAATTCTGTAAGTATAAAATCTGTCATTTTAAAACATGTGAGAGCATCTTAACAGTGAAATCTGCAATAGCCTCTAATTAGCGCAGTGACAACAAATTCCTCCTCTGTTGAGACATCCCATTCTTCTTAATTTTGAAGTGTTACTATCACATTTATTATCTACATAAAGTAAGTTGCAGGACCATATTAAACAAAACTGTATTAGCGACTGACTTTCTGGAGTAGTAAGACACTTCAGGACAGAATGCCTTATTTCTAATACATTGAACTCTGTAAAATCTAAGAAATTAACAGGACACAGACTTACATGTGCATAAATATCCTAGTTTAAGGCTTATGTTCAATATTCAGTGTTGGTTTTAGTGTTTACTGACAAGTGCTTACTTGTCTTAGCTACAAGTAGGGAACCTGTACAGGTTTGGTGTATGCTACAGAAAAGTCAGTATTAAATAAGGGGAACATCATGACACAACAAATTCTCGTTTTAAGAGAAAGGATCACACAGTGCTTGAGTTTTTCCTTCCTGTTATGCCGCCAAAAGCAGTAACACAGCCCAAGAAGCATTCTGCATGTTCTTCTAACACACAAAAAGACAAAAGATATGTTTCCTTCTTAATAAAAAGGGGCCAAGATGTATGAAGGTTGTTAAAACACCTGGAGGCTTGGGTTGGTTTTTATCCCTCCCTCCAGTAACCGCTACATCGCCAGTAAAACAGTAGCAAACTGCCAGACAAGCTGCTTCCTAATCATTGCAAAGAAGTGGGTCAAGT